GTGCTAGACTTTTCTCATTCTCATAATCTTTGCAAAGGTGGTTTTATTTCTATTTCTTGTATTTTCTGGTCTCTTGACATGTTCTTTCATTCTCTGCAGAATTATTAAGCTAAGGTAATTTAATTCAGTAAATCCTTCTATCTCTTTAGCAGCTATGAAAAAGATTGTGGTGGGAGTTTGAATGAGCTAGCTAAATATTTCATGGATGGTGATTATGAGTGCTTTTCAATACTAAATTACTCTGGGGAGTTTTGGTGGATTTCAGTTATCCGTTATGTTTGTGGTTACTCTCTGAATACTCTCTTACATTGAGTTTAGTTAAAAAAAACAGAGAGAAAGGTAAGCTATGCCTACATCTTAGAATTCAGTCCTGTTCCATAATCCTACCCATTAGAATGGCCAAAATACAAAACACTGACAATATCAAATGCTAGTGAAGATGTGAAGGAACAGGAACTCATGCATTGCTGCAATCATACTCCTTAGCATTACCCAAATAATTTTAAAATTTATGTCCACACAGATACTGGCACACAAATGTTTATAGCAACTTTATTCATAATTGCCAAAATTTAGAAGCAACCAAGGTACCTTTTGATCAGTGAGTGGGTAAACTATGGTACGTTCATACAATGTAATAGTACACAATGATGAAAAGAAATGTTATGAGATCACAGAAAGATGTGGAAGAACATTAACTACATATTGGTAAGAAAAAAAAATGCCAGTCTGAAAAGGGTGCATTCTGTATGAGTCCAGTTGTAAGACATTCTGAAAAAGGCAAAACTATAGAGACAATAAGAAGATCAGTGGTTGCTAGGGTGGCAAGGAGAAGGAAGGGATAAATAGGTAGAGCATAGGGGATTTTGAAGCAAATGAACCTCTTCTATATGATACTGTAAAGGTGTGGAAAGGTGACATTATACATTTATCAAAACCCATAGAACTGTGCAACACAAGAGAGTGAACTGCAGTGTAAACTATAAACTTTAGTTAATAATTGTGTATTCATATTGGTTTCTCATTTGTAACAAATGTATGTTAAGAATAGGGGTCACTGTGTGCAGAGGGAGAGGCAGTATGTAGTTACTCTCTATACTTGCTGTTCATGTTTTCTGTAAACCTCACACCGTAAGACATAACGTTTATTAATTTTTTAAAACAGAGAGAGAAAAAGGAAAATAAAAAAATTAGAATATTGCCTATTGCCTCATCTCAGTATAAAAACACATCATTCAACTGTGAAAACTCAAGTGATAGACATATAGTTATTAGCTTGATTACTGAAGTGCATTTTAAAGTATAGTCTACTGACTAGTACCAAGTTTTTAAGGAAGAGGAGGAAGTAAAAAAAGAGAAAACATTAATTTTATCATTGTTTGCATTAGGAAGTCTTTAGATCAACCATAGATTAAATATGTATACACTATACTTATGTGTGTGTATACATATGCTATATACTATATGTGTTATATGGTAACATTACCATAAACACAAAATACAAAGTGATCACAAAGCTAACCCCTAGTATAAATATATTTATTTTCTTAAATATTAGATAATTCAAACACATGTGAGTGTGCCTATGCATACACACAAACATGCACACACAAATAAGTGAACCATATTAGGAAAAGATGATAAACATGATCCAAACAAACAAACAAAAAATGACATATGGCCTAGATCATATATATTAAATCTTTTGTCTTATATTATCTAATGTAAATGGACTTACTTCCTTGATGAAAAATTGGATCACAAAACAAAATTTAATTCTTTCTATAAGCAAAGGTCACCAAATAAGCAATGTGATCCTTAAAGGTTGAAAATAAAAGGAGAGGCAAGCACACTACAAGCAAATGCGTTTTGAAGGAAAGCAGAGGTTGCAATCTTAATACCAGAGCAGGTGAATAGCAAATTCAGTCCTGCCTGAGAATAACAATGAGGCTGGAATTCTCCATCATATAAGATCTATGGTAATTAAGATAGAGAATTTAGGCACAAAGATAAACAACTATAGTAATTTGATATAATATATAACCGAGATGCAGATGCATGAATATGTAAAAACTTGATTCATAACGGAGCTGCCACTGAAGTTTATTGGGGAAATGACTGACTCATCAATAAATTGTTCTGAGAAATTCTGCTATCTATTCTGGAAAAACAAATACTTCTTTCAAAAGGAAAAAAATTCTCAAGTGTAAAAGGCAAATTTATAAACTTCATGAAGAAAGTGTAAAAGGTTATACCTATATAATTAGACCAGGAATATGTGATCTTTTACAGAAGTGAGGAGAGCTTAAACCATTAAAATTAATTCATAAATTCAAATATATTAAAATGGAGAATTTGCTACTTATCAAAAAGTGAGTATTAAAACATGCCACCAACTGAAAGACATTTGAAAAAATAAACTTTATAAATCATTGGAAAATAAAATAAGCTCCATTTTTACAAAATGAAGCAAAGATTTATATAGCACTTCACACAAAAGACAAGTGAATGGCCAATAAACGTATTAAAAATGATAACTTTATAAGTGACTAAGGAAATATATATTAAAGTCAAAGTGATATAGCCTTCCACACTCTTTATTTTGATGAAAATTTAAGTCAGACATTGATTTTGGGGATGGATGTTTTTAAAAATGATGTTGTATTCATGACTGATAAGTTCAGTTTTCTTATACATTCTGTTCTTCTTTCTGTGTTCAATATTTAATTTAAAAAATTTGGCCAGACCTGGTGGCTAACGCCTGTAATCCCAGCACTTTGAGAAGCCGAGGCGGGCAGATCACGAGGTAAAGATATCAAGACCATCCTAGCCAACATGGCGAAATCTCGTCTCTACTAAAATACAAAAAATTAGTCAGACGTGGTGGCACGTGCCTGTAATCCCAGCTACTTGGAAGGCTGAGGCAGAGGAATCGCTTGGACTGGGGAGGCGGAGGTTGCAGTGAGCCGAGATCGAGATCCTGCCACTGCACTCCAGCCTGGCAACAGAGCAAGACCTCGTCTCAAAATAAATAAATAAATAAATAAATAAATAAATAAATAAATAAATGAAACCAGACTATAATTCTGTGTTAAAATCTATGATGTAAAACTGTGGAACTGAAAATACTTGCATATTTTATATCTCAGAAGCTGTGACAAGTAAAACATTCTGCTGTATTTGTGATTTTAAAATCCCCATTGAATAGCTTTCAATTTGGATTTATCAAAATACATTCTATATGTGAAAGTGTACATTTTCCAAAAAATTAGCCAGGCGTGGTGGCGGGCGCCTGTAGTTCCAAGTACTTGGGAAACTGAGGCAGGAGAAACCCTTGAACCCAGGAGGTGGATCTTAAAGTGAGCCCAGATCACGCCACTGCACTCCAGCCTGGGTGACAGAACAAGACTCCATCTCAAAAAAATAAAACAAAATGAAATAAAAGTGCACATTTCCACATAAGCAAAGAAACCATGTGGGGGTGTGGAGAAGTTGGTCAAAGAGTAAAATGTTTCAGTTAGACAGTATGCATAAATGCTGGTGATATATTGTGCTGCATGGTGACTATAGTTAATAATAATTAGTTACTTGAAAATTGCTCAGAGAGTAGACCTTAAATGTTCTAATCATAGGCACATACACGCAGACAACAAACAATAACTATGTGAGGTGATGGGTATGTTAATGAGCTTGATTGTGGTGATCATTTCAACACGTATGCATATATCGAAACATTTCTTGTATGCCATAAATATATACAATTTTTATTCATCGATTATAGCTCAATAAAGTTGGGGAAAAAAACTAAAATTAATAAAAGAAACCATAATTAAGATGAAGGATTGCTCTTGCTACATGTTAGGCATGCCTACTTGTATTTGGGCAGGTGTGATTTTTTTCACATATAGAATCCAGTTCTCTGTTTGAATCTGATTTCTCCATAAAAAACAAAGCATGGCCAGGCGCGATGGCTCACGCCTGTAATCCCAGCACTTTGGGAGGCCGAGACGGGTGGATCACGATGTCAGGAGATCGAGAAACCCCTGGCTAACATGGTGAAACCCTGTCTCTACTAAAAATACAAAAAAATTAGCCGGGCGTGGTGGCAGGAGCCTGTAGTCCCAGCTACACGGGGGGCTGAGGCAGGAGAATGGCGTGAATTCCGTAGGTGGAGCTTGCAGTGAGCCGAGATCGCGCCACTGCACTCCAGCCTGGGTGACAGAGCAAGACCCCACCTCAAAAAAAAAAAAAAAAAAAAAAAAAAAGAAACAAAGCATTCCCCCGGTTAATATATGTGTCAAACCAACAATAGTTACAAAATATTTGCTATACCTCCATCAAGTAGGTCTAGTCCTTTTCCCTTTGAGTCCGGGCTGCCCTTTGACTGCTGAAGCAATAGAATATAGTAGAATGGTACTATTAGTTCCTAGATTGGTAATCCTGAGATTCCATTTTTGAAGTCCTACTATGCTGCAGGATAAACAATTAGGAGAGGGGCTAAGACTGTGGAAAAGGAGAGGGACCCAACCAAGCTCAGTCTCTCAGAGTCTCTGTCGGGTTGGCAGGCATGTAAGTAGGCATTTTTTAGAATCTTCAAGTACTTAGCTATCAGCTGAGTGCCACTGAGTAACTCCAGTCAACCAGTCATAGAATAGAGTAAGAATCACCCAGTGAAACCCTTCCCATATCCCTGACCCACACAGGGGCCCGTATTTTGTGCCCAGCACAGGAGGTAGAAAGTGGAACAAAGTTCTCCATTCCCAAGAAAGTTATATTCTACTTATTGTAAACAAACTGAAGGACACATCAGCAAATTAATTTTAAAGGGTTATAAGTGCTGTGAAGGAAACATATATGTTACTAAGAGGGTAGTCAAGACATTTAATTTAGATACAGCAGATAGAAAGGCTAAATGCCATCATCAAGATGATTACATTAAATTTGACATTAGATTGGCAAATAGAAAAGTGTGCTCTAAAGAGGAACAGTATAGTACTGACCAATTCCTTGATGTAGGAAGCAATTTGATCAAGTGGGAAGCTGAATTGCAGTTGATCGTCTCTGTAGTACAGTTAAATAAGGATTTCAGTGGCCCAAGTAGATGGTAAGATAAAGTAGGTATCAATTTTTGCAAATATTTAACCATGGTGGAGTAGATGTTGGGATTATTTTTTTTCCTATGAGCAATAGAAGGCAATGGATTATTTTAAACAGAAGGAAGACATAATTCTAAACATATTTTAAGATGATAATATTTTTGTTATATTGAAAACAGATTGAAAAAGGATGTTGTTTACTTAATAATTACTTAGTCATCCTCCCAAATCTTATAGCAATACTTATGTAAATACACTGTTTATATAAATGCATATATTGTGTGGAATGCTGTGCAAGACTGATGAAAAATCCAAAGGACTCATATTTTTTCTTTCACTTGTTATTTATAAGGAAGGAGAGAGGCTGGTGAGCAATCAATGAAGAAAAAGCTTTACAAAACTTGACTTTAGAAAAAAAAATCTGAAACCAGTCATAGTTGCAGTAAAAGAATATCATTGAGATAATGAAACTCTCACACAGTATGATGTAGTCTGAATTTGGACAGGATGATGATGTATTAAAATGGAACACTCTCTAAAAAGAAGCCATAATATACATAGAAGGGAAAAATGAGATCTAAATCTCATCAAGATATAAATGTAAACATGGATTATCATAGGAAATGAATTAGTGGCATAACATAGATCAAATGTCAATCATTTACATGATCTTTTCTCATTTATAAATTTTAGCACAATATTTAGAATATGATCAATATTGAAACATCTATTGAAATAATTGTCTTAGACAAATGTGTTCTTAAATATGCTTCATAGACCATTATATTAAGATGACTCCCATTAGACAAATAGCACATTAAAAATAGGCACTAGCGTTTTCACCATCACAATCGTAATGAACATACAGAGCACTATTTTAACACACAATAATATCATTTGTCTTATTGTACTGTGTTTTTTAAATATCACACACTTGTTTTTATTACATTTATTGTGGTTGAACACTCAATATATGAAAGGTCCATCCTCTTAACACATTTTTAAAGGTAAAATAGAGCATTTTTAGCTGTAGGCGCTGTGGTGTACAGCAGATCTCTACAACATTCATCTTGCATAACTGAAACTTTATAACCAGGAAACAACTCCCCATTTCCCCAACCCCTTGTCCCCTGGCAGCCACTATTCTACTTTCTGCTAGTTGGAGTCTGACTCTTCTCGATACCTCATATAGGTGAAATAATGCAGTATTTGTCCTTCTGTAAATGGCTTATTTTGCTTAGCATGTCTTCAAGGCTTGTACATGTTGTTGCATATTACAGAATATTTTAAAGATTTAAAGACTAGTAATAGTCTGCTGTTACGTATAAACCACATTTTCTTTATCCATTCATCTGTCAATGGAAAGCCCAAGTTGTTTATATACATTGGCTCATTAGACAAATAGCAATTTTTTTAAATAGTGCCACAATGAATACTGACATTCGATTATCTCTTTGATGCCTTGTTTTATGTTCTTCTGGATAAATGGCTGGAAATAGGATCATGTGGGAATGCTATGGTTAATTTTTTAAAAAAACTTCCATGCTGTTTTCCATGAAAGGTGCATCAGTTTGCATTCTCCCCAGTCATGTAGAAGAGGTACAGTTTCACCATATCCCCAGCTACATTTATTTTTCATTTTTTAAATAATAGCCACCTTAACAGGTGTGAGATGATATCTCACTGTGGTTTTGAATATGCATGTCCCTGAAGATTAGTGACACTGAGCAATTTTTCATATACCCCTTGGCCACTTGTAAGTCTTTAGAAAAAGATTTATTCAATTCTTTAGTCCATTTTCTGTCAGGTTATGAGTTCCTTATGCATTTTGGAAATTAATTCTTTATCTTATACATAATTGCAAATATTATTTCCATTTGCATAGGTTGCCTTTTACTCTGCTGAATTATTTGCTTGCTATGCTGAAGCTTTTAGGTTTGATAGCCCTTACTTAGTTTGTAGCTGCAATTGTCTATTTTTACTTTTTGGCTTATAGTTTTGATGTCGTATCTATAAAATCACTGCCAAGAGTAATTTAAAAAAAAACCTTTTCCTTGTTTTTTTTTCCCCTAGGAATTAAAAAAATTGAGCTCTTATGTGTAAGTGTAAATCTATTTCGAGTTGACTTTTTGTGTATATTGTGAGATATGAGTCTAAGTTTTGCATGTGGATATTCAGTTTTTTCAATATCATTTATTGAAGAAATTATCCTTTCTTCATTGTGAATTATTTACATTCTTATAGAAAAACAGCTGATCATATATATATGGTTTATTTCTGGGCCTTCTATTCTGTTTCATTGTTCTATATGTCTGCCTTAATACCAGTACCACACTGTTTTAATTACCATGGGTTTTTAATGTATTTTGAAATCATGAAGTGGGTTGTTTCCAATTTGTTCTTGCTCAAGATTGTTCCGGATATTTGTGGTTAATATCTAAAATATGCAATAAACTCCTACAACTTGATAACAAAATACCAAGTAATCTGATTTAAAAATGGACAAAAGGCCTCAATAAATATTTTTCAAAGAAGACTTACAAATTTCCCACAGGTATATAAAAAATTGATCAGTGTCACTAATCATCACTGAAATGCAAATCAAAACTACAGTAAGATATTACCTTTTACTTCTTAGAATGACAATTATCAAAATGATAAAAGATAACAAGTGTTGGTGATGATGTGCAGAAAAGGGAATGCTTACATACTGTTGGTGGGGATGTGAATTGGCATTGTTATTACTGAGAACAATATGGAGGTTCTTCAACAAATTAAAAATAGAATTACTATATGATCTAGCAATTCTATTTCTGGGAATATATCCAAAGGAAATTAAATTAGTATCTTGAAGTAACATCTACACTTCTTTGTTCACTATTGCATTAGTCACAAAAACCGTTATAGAAATAAACTAAATGCCCATTAATGAATTGATGAAGAAATGTGATATACACAGATCACATACATTGGAACAATGTTCAGCCATAGAAAGAAGGAAATCTTGCCCTTCTTTAATTTCACATAATATCCTGCGGGTTTATTTATTTGACAACATGGGTAAACCCACAGGACATTATGTGAAATGAAATAAGCCAGATACAGAAAGACAAATATACCATGATCTCAATTATATGTATAATCTAGGAAAGTTGAACTTATAAAGGCAGAAAGTAGAGTAGTGGCTGTCAGAGGAGACATGGGGAGATGTTCAAAGAGTGTAAACTTTCAGTTATAAGTTGAGCATGTTTTGGGAACCTAAAGTACAACATGGTTACTACAGTTGATAATACTGCATTGTTTACTTGAAATTTGATAACAGAATAGATTTTAAATGTACTCACCCCCTTACACATGCAGAATAATTTCAACTACAGGTGGTGGTGGACATGTTAAATTATTTACCTGCGGTAATCAATACACTATATATACATACCTATATATACACATACACATATATATACACACATATAAATATGTGTGTATCAAATTACCATGTTGTGTACATTGGGCATACACATTTTGTCAATTAAGTACGACTCTTTTTTCAGAGATAGGGTCTCAGTATATTGCCCAGGCTGGTCTCAAATTCCTGGGCTCAAGTGATCCTCTTACCTTGGCCTCTCAAATTGCTGGGATCACAAGTGTGAGCCACTTTGTGCAGTCTATCAGGACTTTCTATTTTAATATGTTGATATTATTATATAAATTTTTTCATGTATTAATGTGGTAAACTATATGGTTTGCTTTGCAAATGTTAAAGCAAATTTTCATTTTTTAAATAAATCAAGTTTAGCTATAATATATTATCTTTTTAAATAAAGGACTATATTTGGTTTAATATTTTCTTTAGCATTTTAGATCAATGTTTATGAAGGACTGGTTCTAATTTTCCTTCTTGAAATGCTTTTTAGTGTAAGTTTTATCCTTCTAACTAGAGTAACTTTAGGATCTATAGTGATGTCTCTCTCGTATCCTTAATATTGGTAACTGATACATGCACTTTTTAATCTTTACTGGTCTTTCTGACTTTTAATAATTTTATTGGATCAGCAATCTTCAACATGTGGTTGCAGAACTCTATGGATCCTAAGACATATTTAGTGAACCTACAAGGTCAAAGTAATTTTCATAGCAATACTAACATATGATTTGCCTTTTTCACTGGTTCACTGTGTTGACATTTGTACTCATAGGGAAAAAGTAATGGTGTGTCATTTAGTAAAAATTATTTTCATTGACCCTCAACCTTTGAGTATACATCTTTTTTAAGTTCTGTATAACACAATGGGAAGTATATATATAGTGCTTCTGCTGCATTTCGGAGTCAGATGGATAGCTCAAGGAAAACATTTGTTCACTTAAGTCATCAGCTGATCTAGTCACTTTTCATGGAATACTATTTTACTTGAAAGAAAAAAATGACAGAAAAATATTATTATTCACACTTACATATTTGGAAGATAGTTTCCCATAATTGAATGCAGTAAGTTTTTGTTGTTTGTTTGTTTTGTTTTGTTTTGTTTTTTAGTCAGAGTCTTGCTCTGTCACCCATGCTGGAGTGCAATCTCAGCTCACTGCAAACTCCGCCTTCAGGGTTCACTCCATTTTCCTGCCTCAGCCTCCCGAGTAGCTGGGACTACAGACCCCCGCCCCCATGCCTGGCTAATTTTTAGTAGAGACAAAGTTTCACTGTGTTAGTCAGTATGGTCTCGATCTCCTGACCTCGTGATCTGCCTGCCTTAGCCTCCCAAAGTGCTGGGATTACAGGTGTGAACCACCATGCCCGGCCAATGAATGCAGTAAGTCTTTAACTTCAAAGTAAATAACTGATAGTCTTATTGCTAATGATAAAATTTGAGCTTTCAGCCAAAAAGCAGAATGTAGGAAAAGGTGTATCTTTTACAATGAGTTTGATTATTTCTTAGTATTTAAAATTTTCCTTACTGAAGAGATGTTTAAAGACATTAGTGAATGTGACATATTGGTATTGTATAATAATATGTGTCAGCATTTTAAGTTATACATAACTAATGGAACAAATATTTTCCAAATGACCAATGAATGATGTTACAAAAT